AGTAGAATTCGGTAGGAAGTGATAAAATCCTACTTCAAGTATTTTCTTCAAAAAACCAAAATTTGCAGAGACTTCAGGAACATCAGAAAAGAAGATAAGTAAATGAAACATCTGAACAAAAAGAGAAGTTGGAAAAATAGGAAAGCGGCAACAAATACACTTTAAGAAAAGGATCCTTCAATTCTATGACCACACAAGATATAGAGTGGGGACTCACTTAAAGAGGTATTCCCTCAGCAGCTTATCCATGTAAAATTCATAAGACAGATCCAGATCCTTCAAAGTGGTATTTTCTCTAATTTTATCTTCCTCTGTACATCTTCCAAGAGTTGATCCCTTAAGATCATAACGACGATGAATTCTCAATTCTGTGCAAAACATATTTCCCATGACCACAAAGCGTACCTAAAACACAAAAGGTCACAAAAGCCCCCCCAGGAAACGTGACATTCACGGGAGAGATACAGTAGGCCAGAAGCCAGGACAACAATTACCTTTCTTCCACCTTTCAATGTTATTCGATGTAGACCAAAAAATTTAGTAATAAGAGTATTCTCATGCTTCCCTACATGTCTGTAATAGGAAGGCAGCATCTTGAGTAGAGCCTACAGCCAAAAAAAACATATCTAAATAACTGTGACCCACAGTCTGTCATAAATTAGAGAACAATCTTGCGAAAAGCTGGAAAAGCCATCCCATCAAATTTTCCAGCCGAAGGTCATCAAAATGTATATTAGTGACAATAACAACAGGAGGATAAATACATATTGAACAAACCAGAGCGATGGTGGTCGGTAGATCCTATACAAAAGGATACATCAGACAATATCAGTGGCATATATTGTTGAACATGCCATGTCATGCAGAATGACTTAGGTGGAGATTACTTAAATGGATTAGAAACTTTAATTTAGCACTCTAAACCTCAACTATTTTGCCTCACCATGCCAATTAAGATTAAAATCTAACTGGAGAAGCATGCAAAGCATCTTTAATAAAGTTCTGCCTCACTCATTTAGCGAAGGAGGTTCAGTGGAGTCGGACCTTCAGCTCAGATCTTTTTAATGTCTTAATCACAAATCTATCATCATGAGAAAGATAGAATATACTGCCACTTTTCCCCGGCGAAGAGAGCTCCCTTAGACCATCATCACCACAAATGGACATCATGTACTCTGCTGCATCTAATTTGAACATCTCCCTCAAGTTCCTGAAAATTTAATCTCAAGGATAAGAACAAACCATAGCTTACATTATATTTGAAAAGAGGACTGGAACGAGTGACTTAGGACAAAGAGAGCTTGAATAGAAACTTAGAAAATCTTATTAAGAACAAAACTTAGAGATCTTGGATCTTAATAATCAAAACAATATCTCAATATGTGAATAATAATCATAAGTAGTCAGGGTACCTTATCTATGGACATCAAAGTACATCAAAAATAGAAACTCTATAATACCTAATAAAATAGAAAAATAAATTAAATAGAAGGAAACTAGCAATCTTCCTATTTCCTTCTATTGTAAACAAAGAAAATAGAAAATAAATTAAATGGAAGGAATTAGGAAATTAGAAATCTTCCTACTTTTTTTATGATAAAACTTTTCCAAAACTTT